AATTCACTTTTAATTTAGGCAATTCTTACCTTAGTGAATACTCCTGTGGGTGAATTCACTGTTCCTCAATAATCTCACGAATGATTTTAGTTCAAGATGTACTGAATGTGCCGAAATATTGATATGTGTTGTGAATTGCACTGGTGGGCTTTTTTTTCACTAGCACGGAGTGTTTCATTGGTTGAATTTATCTTGCCGATTGCCGAAGGTCGTGATGTAATAATAGCGCCACTGAACTGTGCAGATGTAGGTTCTGCAGTATCTGACGTTTTTCTCTTTATTTGTGTCCAATCTCCACGGAAGGAGTTTTGGGAAACAGAGTTAGTAATATTTCCCAAATTCAGAAACCCAGGTCAGCATTCTGTTTTCCAGTAACAGGTACCAACAGCCCCAGGCAACTTCGAGTAGGCCTGAGGGCATTTACACTCAAGCAGTCATTATTATTATTACTGTCACTTTTTAGATGTGAATTCGCCATGTCAGGAATTTTTTTTCAAAAAACTTCAAAAGCTACGATCAGTGCTGTTCTCTAAAGTATAAATTGTTGGGAATTCAAAATGAATTTTAGGCCAAAATAGCCCCAAAATGTCAAATTCCAAAAGTCAGCTATAATTTCTGTTGAATTTCACTGTGAATTCTCTGCAATACACATTTTACGGAATTACACCAATAAAGAGAAATGCTGTCAACCTGGTAAAATGCACATGTTCTTGTGTGACCCAAACTATCCAATCAAATAAAGTGCAAATTCTCCTGTACGGTACAGTGCAAGAGCATGTTTACAGTATATTTAATGCACAGGTCACAATCGGAACAAGTAATGTTACTGCGTCCATTCTTTTCCAGAGAAAAATGGAAAACGCTCTGATTCACAAAGTGAATTAAAGTTAAATTAAAAATTTAAGGTCAAAGTAGCCAAACTGAAAAAAAAAATCTCCAAATCAGCTATGCTCTGATTTCGGCTACTTTGGCCTTAAATGTGATATTCACTTTTAATTCTCCCTATTAAAGGACACAAGTGACACCGGCAAATATATTACAGTGACCAAACATCTAAAGTGCAAATCTGACACGTTAGGTGCCCCTGCCATTGTTGTCATGTACAGTTTGTGCCACCGTTTGTTTTACCATTGTTTAACTTGTCCTTAATAAATCATTTATACAATGGCACCATTAATGGTTCTCCTGTCGTTACATGCTTTTTATATGAGGCTCTGGATATTCTGATTGAAATTTAAATAGACGTCTCTTGTGCATTTTAGGCGTTTTCACTATGATCTATTTACACCTTTATCCAATTTTCACAATTTCTACACAAATCCTAGTTTAGGAAGTAACATCTAAAGGTTTGGGGTTCTGCGACGAGAAGGGTCAAGCTTCAACTGGTATTTACTGAAATGTCAACTTGTAGCACGTTAAAATCTGGTTGGATACATCTAGGTGAATAATCCAGCTGTGACTATAGCTAAATTGGAGAATTTTGCTATTTCGATTTGAGGTTTGCTACAATTCACAGTTTAGAAAAGAACCCCTCTGCGTTTTGTGTTTTTGTTTTTTTTTAATAGTTGTCATAATTTAGATTGTAAATTCCTAAAAGAAAAGTTCTCCTTCCCCTTTCTTTCCATCTGTTCCAATATTTTAAGTGCATGTGCTTACCAGTTGTACAGCGCTACACAACCTGTTGGTGCTTCTCAAATAAATGCTTATAATTATAATATATTCCTCTCCAAAGACAAGGGAAGATCTATCCCCCAACCCCCTCCCCCCAGGGCTCCCACACCACAGGGATCTAACCATCAGATGAAAACAAAAGGCTTGCCAATAGAGGAAGACTATTAATTGATTTAATTTGAGAAAAGGGAAAGAAAACATGCATTGTGTTGTCTCTGTTGATAATGAGTCTTTGATCTGGTTAAGACATAAGATTAGCAAGTGTCACTAATTCTGTAAGATCTATGTTCAGTCTGTCTGCACCTATATTGACACCAGACAGCTTCTACTAGCCAGTACCTTGATGGTTAACCTTGGCAGCCAGATGTTTGTGGACTATATTACCCAGTATGCTCAGACAGCCATGGTTTCAGGGTGCTAGGGCTAGAGATATTACCAGGGCTCCTTTAACCCCTTAAGGACACATGACATGTGTGACATGTCATGATTCCCTTTTATTCCTGAAGTTTGGTCCTTATGGGGTTAAGTACCCAGACAGCCAGTTTATCCAAGCTCTCTGCTTCCTAAAGGACTTTCAGCTCCCATTATTGCTTTAGATTGTCAGCTCTTTGGGGACAGTGTCTTCTATATAAAAACAAATAGACACCTTGACACAGGGTCTTGTATTATATTATTAGTTGGCAAGTTCTCTGTACAGGATCTCGTATTAAATTGCAAGCTCCTTGGGAAAGGATCTCATTATAACAATCAATTGCAAGCTCCTTGGGACAGGGTCTCATTATAGCAATAGACTGCAAGCTCCTGGGGACAGGGTCTCCAAATGGAATAAGTTACACCGATAAACATTATGTCTTGCAAATGAAATGATATATAGTCATGCAATTGCTAGCTCTTGTGCCCACAGCATTACAGCATGCATTATATGATATAACCCAATATTTATTGAGTTCTCAACATGCATTGTTTTCTATGCATTTAGCAACATGTATGTAATCGTGTATGCATGCTGAAAATATCTCCCTGTGCAGTTACTCTGGCAGTGCTGGGTTCTGTCTCTTTAAGGCAGAGTGGTGGGGGAGGTATAGGGGTCGCAGTGTGATTGGGGCGGCTGGATCACACACGCCTGACGTCCCAAAGCCTCAGGGAGTTGACTGAGATTGTTTGTTTTTGATAAGGTTTCAATACAGAGTAACAGTGGCAGCAACACAGGTATAACATTGCGCCATGAATGATTCTACCCCACACACTGCATCACTCACTGCACCCTGAATGATTCTACCCCATACACTGCATTACTCACTGCACCCTGAATGATTCTACCCCATACACTGCATCACTCACTGCACCCTGAATGATTCTACCCCATGCACTGCATTACTCACTGCACCCTGAATGATTCTACCCCATGCACTGCATTACTCACTGCACCCTGAATGATTCTACCCCATGCACTGCATCACTCACTGCACCCTGAATGATTCTACCCCATACACTGCATTACACACTGCACCCTGAATGGTTCTACCCCATACACTGCATCACTCACTGCACCCTGAATGATTCTACCCCATGCACTGGATCGCTCACTGCACCCTGAATGATTCTACCACATGCACCGCATCACTCACTGCACCCTGAATGATTCTACCCCATGCACTGCATTACTCACTGCACCCTGAATGGTTCTACCCCCTACACTGCATCACTCACTGCACCCTGAACGATTCTACCCCATGCACTCACTGCACCACTCACTGCACCCTGAATGACTCACTGCACCCTGCATGTTCTACCCCCATACACTGCATCACTCACTGCACCCTGAATGATTCTACCCCATGCACTGCATCACTCACTGCACCCTGAATGATTCTACCCCATACACTGCATCACTCACTGCACCCTGAATGATTCTACCCCATACACTGACTCACTCACTGCACCCTGAATGGTTCTACCCCATATATTGCATCACTCACTGCACCCTGAATGATTCTACCCCATACACTGACTCACTCACTGCACGCTGAATGATTCTACCCCATACACTGCATCGCTCACTGCACCCTGAATGATTCTAACCCATGCACTGCATCACTCACGGCACCCTGAATAATTCTACCCCATACACTGCATTACTCACTGCACCCTGAATGATTCTACCCCGTACATTTCATCACTCACTGCACAATGAATGATTCTACCCCATACACTGACTCACTCACTGCACCCTGAACAGTTCTACCCCATACACTGCATCACTCACTGCACCCTGAACGATTCTACCACATACACTGACTCACTCACTGCACCCTGAATGATTCTACCCCATACCCTGACTCACTCACTGCACCCTGACTGATTCTTCTACCCCATACACTGACTGACTCACTGCACCCTGAATGATTCCACCCATACACTGCATCACTCACTGCACCCTGAATGCTTCTACCCCATACCCTGACTCACTCACTGCACCCTGAATGATTCTACCCCATACCGTGACTCACTCACTGCACCCTGAATGACTCTACCCCATACACTGCATCCTGAATGATTCTACCCCATACACTGCATCACTCACTGCAACCTGAATTATTCTACCCCATACATTGCATCACTCACTGCACCCTGAATGATTATACCCCATACACTGTATCACCCACTGCAGAGCCCTGAATGATTCCACCCATACACTGCATCACTCACTGCACCCTGAATGCTTCTACCCCATACCCTGACTCACTCACTGCACCCTGAATGATTCTACCCCATACACTGCATCCTGAATGATTATACCCCATACACTGTATCACCCACTGCAGAGCCCTGAATGATTTCTAAACCATGTACTGGATCAGTCACTGCACAGCCCTGCATGATTCTACCCCAAGCACTGCATCACCGAATACACAGCCCTGCATTATTCTGCCCCACGCACTGCCTCACTGCACAGCCCTGTAAAATTCTACCCCAGCCAGCACTGCTCTGCATTTAACATGCATTTATAAATAGCAGCCATGCATGGAAAGTGCAGGGATCCAGCAAAGTACACAGTGTACACTGGCAGGATGGAGAGAGGGGCTTTGATTCATGTGGAAGGCTGAGATGAATCACACATTTATTTGCCTTCCAGGACACACACACCCTTTGATGTTCAGTTTGTGTTGGACTGAACCCACAGGAAATTTGGTGCAAGCAAAGACTGCTTGAAACAGGACCTGCTCTGGGAGGGGAGGAGTGAGTGGGGAGGAGGGATCCCATCTTCTGGAGACAGCCTAAAAGCCAAGGAAACACATATTCTGGCTCTTCATCCAGTGTCTCCTCTTCATATGGATGTAATGCTGCAGCAGCTCTGGGTGTCACTGCACAGTGTGGGGACACCTTGGGGACCCTCTCAGCTCCCCTGGATGAATGGTAAGAAGCTGGGCACAGGGGGTGGCTGCCTGAATGGCCTTTTTATGTGACAGATCTCTCACTGCATCCCCTCTGTGTGCCCACCCTCCTCCTCCAGCCCCTCCCCAACACATCTACACCCCCTGTGATCTGTGAAGAAGCTTTGCATGCCTGGGTTGGTGTCAGTTGCTACAGAGGATTCCAAAAAGCTAGCAAGTGACATGAGGGCTAGGTGTTGCCATTCTGGTTGCCTGTAAGCCACAGCCAGTAGCCCCTGGTGGGAGATGTACCTTGCAGGATGTGGGAGCTGCATTGATTGATAACTTTTGGGTTTGATGTTCAGAAGACAGACATGGGTGTGCATGGAACCAGGTAATTGTGCCACAGGGGCACTGGCCATACCCAATTCTAATCTACAACTTGTTTGTGTCCCCCTGCTGCCCATCATGGGGGCTGTGCCAGGGGGCTTGCTTTTCTGGGCTTATTCTGCAATATTTAGTTTTTCCTTTTTAGAAGTTGGGTAAAAAATGAGCAGTGATGGGCTGAGATTTTGATGTGATGGTTTTGTTTCTTGGTTGTTTTATATTTTCCTTTATTTTTGGTTTCTTGGTAGAATGTTGGTTTTTGTGAAGCCAATCAGCTAGTGGGTTTAGAGGGACACTTTTTATTGCAGGTTAATGATGGGCTTTTCACTTAGCTGTGACCATCAGGATAGATAGAATGTATATTTTATTTTCGAGCGGATCCCACCAACCATTGGTTTTCTAATTTTAACTCCTTCGTGAAAGGGGGGTACCCAAATCCTTTGATATCCTGTGAAGTGTTACGAATGGGTTTCGGATGTTCCTGTGCCATACATTCTGTGTGTGTTTTTAGGGTTTAATTTTACATTGAATTGGAGTTTTCCGCGCACAGCTATAAATTATTCTTTAAAGCCCACAGATGCCCTACTTGTATTGAACATCAAGACATTGGATGGGGAGCCCAGGCTACATTCTGCTACAGGGGAATTTCCTTGTGATCTTAATCTGGGAATGGAAAACAGATGTCTACAGAGGGGCGTTCGCTTTTTGGGGAGGAGATTGGTGTAAAATGAATTTCACCTGCTAGCTTACCCCCTTACCCCCTCCAACACTCTCCCAGTGTCCCTTTCCATAATGATCCTATGGGTCGTTTTTTATCGCTCTGTGTCGGTGATAGCTAGCCTTGACACCCCATGTGTCTGTGAACTAAATCTTCCATGATCCTCAGCCAGCCTGAGGGCTCCATGGGGAATGTAGTTCACAGACATCTGGAGTGCCAAGGTTGGCTATCGCTGCTATCCCCCCCACCCACCCCCGTATGATGTTTTTTGCAGAACTGAGCAGTAGGTATTACAATTTCTGCATGTCTCTGTGTATTTGTCTCCCAACATGTTCCGTTGTCAGATACATTGTTATTCTATTAAACGAGCCCCGTGAAATAATGGGTTAACCCGGTATCACTGCAGCTGCAATAGATCTAATGCTGCACTACTGATTTGCATTGTATGTAGCTCGTAGCTTTGTGGCAGAGAGAAGTTGAAAAGCCTGTTTACTGTTTCTTTGATGTTGGGCGGACCTGGTTTTGATTAAGATCAATACTTTCTTTCATTTACAGAGGGAAGAAGGCTTTCTGGATCCCCTGCTGACTTGAGAGGGATAGCAGATTACTGTGGAATTTAAAACATACAATATGACTAGTGCGCTCTTGATGACTCACCTCCCAGATCACAGCAGCAGTTTCAGGGAAGACGCCCCACGTCCGCCGGTGCCCGGGCAAGAAGGGCAGACATCATGCCAACTTCAGACAAAAAGCCAAAGATCAAAGTCTATGTCCCTTTCATCCAAACCTAAGAGAAACGACGATGGCTTGGGCGAACCAGAAGGCAGCGCGTCCCCTGATTCGCCTTTGGTCAGATGGACCAAGTCATTGCATTCCTTATTGGATGATCAGGATGGAGCTCATCTTTTTAGGACCTTTCTGGACAGGGAAAAATGTGTGGATTCCTTAGACTTCTGGTTTGCATGCAATGGATTCAGGCAAATGGACCTAAAGGATGGCAAAACAGTGAGAGTCGCCAAAGCTATCCATAAACGATACATTGAAAACTATGGCATTGTGTCCAAACAGTTAAAACCACCCACCAAAGTCTTTATTAAGGATTCGATCAAGAGACAGCAGATAGACTCTACGATGTTCGACCAAGCTCAGTCTGAGGTCCAGGCACTTATGGAGGACAATGCTTACCAGATGTTCTTGACCTCCGATATATACCTCGAGTACGTAAGGACAGGTGGAGAGAACACATCGTATTTCAGCAACGTCGGGCCAGGGAGCTTAAAGGTTGACAGTGGATATCTACCAACCTTGAATGAAGAGGAGGAGTGGAACTGTGTGGACTTAAAACACAAGAGCTTGGTTGCGCTGTCCAGCAAATCCTTAAGGGCTACAGCAAGTTCAAGAGCAAAGGAGACCGTAGACATCGCATACAGGTAAGCCTATCCAACATTATGTGCAATGTCTTTTGGCTATCACATCCTATTGTGCGATGTTTGCAGGCAGTGATGCCTTTCAGTGGACTTATTTTGTATCTAGTGAGATAGTTGGACTCTTTTCAGGATCTTTGAGCAGATTTATTCCAAGTGCCTTACACGTCATTGAAATGCTTTGTAACGTAAGCCTTTTGCACCATGGTAGCTGGTCATCTGACAGATCTGGGGCAATAATAATAAATAATGCACGGTTTGTTGTAGTACAGCTTTTTAAGCATTCGTCCACCTATTTTATGTTTTTACGTTGGCATAAAATTATTTAGATAATATAAGATTTAATATTTTTTTGTTTGTTTATCCTAGATATATATTTAGTTTTGTGTGTAAAGAGCAAAATGTAGAGCCATCTTTGGACGCATTCCATTGGTTTCCATGGTGACTGCTCAACATTTAGATATGTTCCACAGAACTGCCCATTATAAATGCCTCCACTCACTGATATAGTCATTTGATAGTTGAGTTGGTGGTCATGCCCCCTACTGCTATGCACTTCCGCATTTAAACCAGAATTAATGGTCATGCTCTGTATTAATATGTATTGCTGCTGATATGATATTGAAATGCAGTCTGTAGCATTTCAAAGGGTTTCTTAGCTAATTATCCCGTATTAATCTCCCTGGAATGTGATATAATTGGCGATATTATTCACCATTCATTAACATGCGTGTAGTTAGCTGTTGGTGGTTGGTTAAATCTGGCGTCCTACTGACCCGGGCTGAACTTCTATGGCGTCAGAGACCGCCCTCTGCTGGAGGAATGTGAGCTGTTCACCTATTTACATAATCTGTTTTGCACATCTTCACATAATACACAATACAAAGAGCTTGCAATCTAGCATTACTTCCAGTCATGTCGTCGATATATCTCTGCCTTACTGTTGTGGGGGGGGGTTGCTTCTCTCAAAGCTCTGAGCAGGATTCTGACATAATAAATTATTCACAATAATTCTGAATAATATATGTAGTGTATTATTATAAAAGCCAAAAATATAGCAATCTGCTCTTCACTCTCTGTCTTACTTTACCTTATACCTTTCACGTCATTAGATCTAATATTAATAAGCCTGAAACAAATTATACGACTCTAAAAGTTCACTCAGCGGTCTTTTTTAAATGTCCTTTTATGTTTGCATCACCTGTTGCTAGATCTACCTCTGCGTACATCTGTTTTGTGCACCTTCTATATTTTTGGCCTTTGACTATATCATATTGTTTACAGTGAAATTGATTTAATGTCTGATTGACTGAGAGGTCAAAGAAAACCTCTCTATTGTGACGTACCTGACATGTCAGTGGCCCTCAAGGGATCAAAACAATTTCTACGACATGGTAAATGGGAATTATAGTGCCTGTTGATATTGAATCTCAGTAGATCCTCTTGTTTAATGTACGATAAAGTACAGATTTCTGAAGAATAGGTTAGAAATCCAAAAGGATGGAATAATTGAAGAGCTCAGAGCTCTCATTGTATTAAACAGGTCTTGGCAGTTCCATTCTTCTATGACCTCGGTTTGACCAGTCCTTGACGGGGTTAAGCTGACTTGGCAGTAACGGGTTAAAAGGATTCATCAAGGAAGCGTCTAATTAGAATGAATCCCTTTCTTGTAAAGTGATGGTCTTTGAAGTGGGAAGCCTTGCATGGCTGTCATCTCTCTGTGATCTGCTCTATGGTATAAACCTTTATATAGCTGTGCTGAGTATTCCGGGCACAGGGCTATAAAGCTCTTTGAAAGATCAAAGAAAGCCTAATTTAACCGTTGGGTTCCGGGTAGCTTGGTCAACATGTAACTGTTTAAATGCCAGGGGTTGAGGGCAAGGCTTGCGATTGTCTCCAAGTACACTTGTAATCGGTTGTTAAGCTCACGTTGGCTTCCATATATTTTCTGACCCAGTAGTATAGTTTATAATGTTTATAACATAGCCCATCAGAATGTTTACATGTTAATGATTGCCATATAGGATTCCTATGACAGAAACCTCTGGTTTTGGGATATACCTTCCCTTTCCTTTCGAAATAAATTGATGGGGGGGGTCCTAAAGAGATGCCAAGTAGCAGAGTACTTCTACTCTGGTACCTCCTGGGAAATATTATTTTGGCTGAGAACCTAGATCAGCCTAACAAGGCCCCCAGTGCAGGGGTGAAGTATGGGATGAGGCCTAGTGCTTTACCCATGGCTAGCCTTGACAGGTCTCTGTCAGTAATGTGGGTCTCATTCTGTCTCTATCTCCTTTCTGAAGACAATACCTCTTTAGTCTAAGGCTTTAAGAATGTGACCTAGCAGGAGTGGATGAAGGAGATCAGCCAAAAATATATGGTGTTACTAGCAGGAGGGCTTGCTATGAATATTAAATGAAAATGTGTGTTTTGATGTGACCTTTTGTACTCTTGTATGGCGCCCCCAAAGGTCGACCCTTTGTCCTGGACCTTTAACGACTTTCTTAAATTTTGGAGTTGCTATAATGGGATGCTTATTACAAATCATGGAGGAAAGACAGGTGTAATAGGTCTTCAAGGGTCTGGGGCAATTTTCTCTGGTGTAACTTATTTTCGAAGGTTTTGTGGCAGCCATTTTGTTCCTAGTTGACTCATAATAGATGTCTCAGGTCCGTGGGTAAATACCGTCAGATTCCCTTCACAAAATTTAAAGCCATTGTATATTAGGACTATTAATATACATGATTACACCTGCTGCTATCACAATGGATTCTAAAAGGTACTAGATAGACCAATTGTAGTAAAATTAAGGTGGATTTCATAATAAAGTTGACAGTCCTGTGAGAACTCTGTTGACTGTGAGGAGGGTCTTGAGACCCTTTGACGCCTTAAAATGGTTTAAAAACAAACCGACATTGCTTGTAGGATCCAGTGGCCCATACTTCTGAAAGATTTGTGGATGAATGGAATAGACTCTCACCAGAGGGAAAAAAACAGCAGTCGAAGAAATTCACGATTGTCGTGTGCTAAGGATTTGATGTCCTGACAGAGACAGGGTTAACATGAAATTGACTGTACTTCTTTCCGTGATAATTAGGGGATATATAATCGTGTAGGTCTCACTCGCAAAAAAATTTAAGGAGCTATTCAAGGCGTAAATACATGTTGTACATTTATTTATTGATTTGAATTGATTGGTTGATTATTTATTGTGTATTCTTCAAAAATGTAATGGAAAAATATTGAACTTGATGTGAAATTGTCAGTTCCTGTCTAACATTTTGCTGGTCGTTGGTGTTCAGACAGTTCATTTCAAGCTTAGCCATCTAACTTCAACTGGGTTTCTCCCTTTCTCAGGGCCTACAAGAGGACGGATCCAGTCAACCCCTATCATGTGAATTCTGGATATGTTTTTGCGCCGGCCACCAGTGCCAATGAAAGCGAGATTTCAAGTGACGCTCTGACGGATGATTCGATGTCCATGACTGACAGCAGTGTGTAAGTAATTGTGCAAACCACGTGTGTGCATGCGCGCTCATACTAAGAATATATTCCATTTTGCATATTAATTTTGCATGTTAATTAGAACATGCATTCCCTCCTCCTCCCAGAAGGCCTTAACTTTTAAACATAGCAGGTTAAGATATTGGATGAGGATAATGGGAGTTATAGCCCTGGTTACATCTGATTGCCACTGAGACTGACCAATTGACATCTTATTGCAAAGAAGAAAAAAAAACGAATTTCTTCCAGGATGCAGACTCTGTGGGGTGTTAACATATAATCCTTCAAGATCACTATAATAGGATTGTGATCAGAGCTTCGAACTACCTCCCCCCCTCCTGTGGATAGACCTATTTTATTTACGCTAAACCTTTTCCTTTTCTTGCCAAATTTGATTAGTTTCATCTTGTTCTTCCATTTAGCGAACCGTGATTGTAGAGGTTTATACACATCATTTAAAAAAAAAAATTTGTTATAAACTCACTGGATTTTTCCCAAACACACTGCTTTGTACAAACAGCTGAAGGTCATTTTTTTGTTGTTTGATTGATAGACTAGATTATACAGGGGTAGGCAGCCTTCGGCACTCCACATGTTGTGGACTACATCCCCCACAATGCTGTTACACCCATAATGCTGGCAAAGCATCATGGTAGGTGTAGTCGAAAACATCTGGAGTGCAGAAGGTTGCCTATGCCTGGACTAGAATTAGTTTGTTTATTCGCTGAACAGTGAATTGTGGTAAATTTAAATATTGTCCCAAAAACCTTGTATATTACAAATGCAAATTTTTGCATTTTATCCTAAATTTAGTTTTTCACTTTTGTCGTGTGTAATGGGGGGGAAAACCTGTATTTTTAAGGTTGGAGAGGGCATGCTCTCCTTCACATAGTACATAGGCGACGCATGCAGAACTATTTCAGGGTTGTTCACAATAGTATGAATTTCCGTGATTCAGAGTGAAGTTCAAATTTTAGACAAAAATAGTCAAACCGACAACAGAATTTTAAATTTTAGCTAGTCTGGCCTAGAATTTAAATTATATTAAATTCCTGGCAATTGACACTTTACTGAATATCTTTGACATGATTATTAACCTGGCTCCAAATTAAACGTTTAATAGTTAATAGCTATCCCTAGATCAGCTGTTTATGCCCACACGTTTTTCCATTCAGTTTTTAATTTGCCACAATTTAGAGTTTAATGAATAAACTCTTTGATTGCTTAATTTCTACCCACACAAATTGCCACATCACTAGATCAAGATCAGATCGTCGTTTTTGAAAAACAGATTTAATGCACTTAAAAAAACAGAACTGTTTGAAAGTTGCCTGACCCCCTGTCTGGTATAAAAGCAGATTCTGAAATCGGTCCGTCACCCTTTTGGATTGCAGAGTGAGATTACGCAGGGCCTGCAGAGCACAGATGGGATGTGAAGATCACTAAATAGCATTGTCTAGGGATTGGGATCAGAGCAACCAGTCCTGAATAGATTATCTCCCCCTGTCGCCCCTTTTAAGCTGCATTTGAAAGAGAGATCTCGCTGCTCTTGTCTGATTAAACCAGTAAAGGGGATTTAAACCCTTTACAGACCTGGGCAGAATTCTCAGAGATGAGACAGTTGTCTCCCGCAGTGGCTCTTAAAAAGACGCCTCCAATGTCTGTCCTACTAGTTGGGCCTAGAACTTTGATCGCTAAGTTTAATGGCTTGTTCGATAATAAACATGTAAATGATGTATAAATAAAATATACATACACTGTATACAGACTGCACTTACTGTGCCTCCCTCTACTGTATTTTATTTATATAGTGCTAACAGGTGTACTCAGTTAGCGCTATATAAATAAAATATACATACACTGTATACCTACTGCACTTACTGTACCTCCCTCTACTGTAATGTAACCTGTAAAGTGCTGAGTACACCTGTTAGCGCTATATCAATAAAATATACATACACTGTATACCTACTGCACTTACTGTACCTCCCTCTACTGTAATGTAACCTGTAAAGTGCTGAGTACACCTGTTAGCGCTATATCAATAAAATATACATACACTGTATACCTACTGCACTTACTGTACCTCCCTCTACTGTACTGTAACCTGTAAAGTGCTGAGTACACCTGTTAGCGCTATATCAATAAAATATACATACACTGTATATCTACTGCACTTACTGTATCTCCCTCTACTGTAATGTAACCTGTAAAGTGCTGAGTACACCTGTTAGCGCTATATAAATAAAATATACATATACTGTATACCTACTGCACTAACTGTACCTCCCTCTACTGTAATGTAACCTGTAAAGTGCTGAGTACACCTGTTAGCGCTATATAAATAAAATATACATACACTGTATACCTACTGCACTAACTGTACCTCCCTCTACTATAATGTAACCTGTAAAGTGCTGAGTACACCTGTTAGCACTATATAAATAAAATATACATACACTGTATACCTACTGCACTCACTGTACCTCCCTCTACTGTAATGTAACCTTAAAGTGCTGAGTACACCTGTTAGTGCTATATACAGGGAGTGCAGAATTATTAGGCAAGTTGTATTTTTGAGGATTAATTTTATTATTGAACAACAACCATGTTCTCAATGAACCCAAAAAACTCATTAATATCAAAGCTGAATATTTTTGGAAGTAGTTTTTAGTTTGTTTTTAGTTTTAGCTATGTTAGGGGGATATCTGTGTGTGCAGGTGACTATTACTGTGCATAATTATTAGGCAACTTAACAAAAAACAAATATATACCCATTTCAATTATTTATTATTACCAGTGAAACCAATATAACATCTCAACATTCACAAATATACATTTCTGACATTCAAAAACAAAACAAAAACAAATCAGTGACCAATATAGCCACCTTTCTTTGCAAGGACACTCAAAAGCCTGCCATCCATGGATTCTGTCAGTGTTTTGATCTGTTCACCATCAACATTGCGTGCAGCAGCAACCACAGCCTCCCAGACACTGTTCAGAGAGGTGTACTGTTTTCCTCCTTGTAAATCTCACATTTGATGATGGACCACAGGTTCTCAATGGGGTTCAGATCAGGTGAACAAGGAGGCCATGTCATTAGATTTTCTTCTTTTATACCCTTTCTTGCCAGCCACGCTGTGGAGTACTTGGACGCGTGTGATGGAGCATTGTCCTGCATGAAAATCATGTTTTTCTTGAAGGATGCAGACTTCTTCCTGTACCACTGCTTGAAGAAGGTGTCTTCCAGGAACTGGCAGTAGGACTGGGAGTTGAGCTTGACTCCATCCTCAACCCGAAAAGGCCCCACAAGCTCATCTTTGATGATACCAGCCCAAACCAGTACTCCACCTCCACCTTGCTGGCGTCTGAGTCGGACTGGAGCTCTCTGCCCTTTACCAATCCAGCCACGGGCCCATCCATCTGGCCCATCAAGACTCACTCTCATTTCATCAGTCCATAAAACCTTAGAAAAATCAGTCTTGAGATATTTCTTGGCCCAGTCTTGACGTTTCAGCTTGTGTGTCTTGTTCAGTGGTGGTCGTCTTTCAGCCTTTCTTACCTTGGCCATGTCTCTGAGTATTGCACACCTTGTGCTTTTGGGCACTCCAGTGATGTTGCAGCTCTGAAATATGGCCAAACTGGTGGCAAGTGGCATCGTGGCAGCTGCACGCTTGACTTTTCTCAGTTCATGGGCAGTTATTTTGCGCCTTGGTTTTTCCACACGCTTCTTGCGACCCTGTTGACTATTTTGAATGAAACGCTTGATTGTTCAATGATCACGCTTCAGAAGCTTTGCAATTTTAAGAGTGCTGCATCCCTCTGCAAGATATCTCACTATTTTTGACTTTTCTGAGCCTGTCAAGTCCTTCTTTTGACCCATTTTGCCAAAGGAAAGGAAGTTGCCTAATAATTATGCACACCTGATATAGGGTGTTGATGTCATTAGACCACACCCCTTCTCATTACAGAGATGCACATCACCTAATATGCTTAATTGGTAGTAGGCTTTCGAGCCTATACAGCTTGGAGTAAGACAACATGCATAAAGAGGATGATGTGGTCAAAATACTCATTTGCCTAATAATTCTGCACTCCCTGTAAATAAAATATACATACACTGTATACCTACTGCACTCACTGTACCTCCCTCTGCTGTAATGTAACCTGTAAAGTGCTGAGTACACCTGTTACTGCTATATAAATAAAATATACATACACTGTATACCTACTGCACTTACTGTACCTCCCTCTACTGTAATGTAACCTGTAAAGTGCTAAGTACACCTGTTAGTGCTCTATAAATAAAATATACATACACTATATACCTACTGCACTCACTGTACCTCCCTCTACTGTAATGTAACCTGTAAAGTGCTGAGTACACCTGTTAGTGCTCTATAAATAAAATATACATACACTGTATGCCTACTGCACTTACTGTACCTCCCTCTACTGTAATGTAACCTGTAAAGTGCTGAGTACACCTGTTAGCGCTATATAAATAAAATATACATACACTGTATACCTACTGCACTTACTGTACCTCCCTCTACTGTAATGTAACCTGTAAAGTGCTGAGTACACCTGTTAGCGCTATATAAATAAAATATACATACACTGTATACCCACTGCACTTACTGTACCTCCCTCTACTGTAATGTAACCTGTAAAGTGCTGAGTACACCTGTTAGCGCTATATAAATAAAATATACATACACTGTATACCTACTGCACTTACTGTACCTCCCTCTACTGTAATGTAACCTGTAAAGTGCTGAGTACACCTGTTAGCGCTATATAAATAAAATATACATACACTGTATACCTACTGCACTTACTGTACCTCCCTCTACTGTAATGTAACCTGTAAAGTGCTAAGTACACCTGTTAGTGCTCTATAAATAAAATATACATACACTATATACCTACTGCACTCACTGTACCTCCCTCTACTGTAATGTAACCTGTAAAGTGCTGAGTACACCTGTTAGTGCTATATAAATACAATATACATACACTGTATACCTACTGCACTTACTGTACCGCCCTCTACTGTAATGTAACCTGTAAAGTGTTGAGTACACCTGTTAGCGCTATATAAATAAAATATACATACACTGTATACCTACTGTATTTACTGTACCTCCCTCTACTGTAATGTAACCTGTAAAGTGCTGAGTACACCTGTTAGCGCTATATAAATAAAATATACATACACTGTATACCCACTGCACTTACTGTACCTCCCTCTACTGTAATGTAACCTGTAAAGTGCTGAGTACACCTGTTAGTGCTATATAAATAAAATATACATACACTGTATACCTACTGCACTTACTGTACCTCCCTCTACTGTAATGTAACCTGTAAAGTGCTGAGTACACCTGTTAGCGCTATATAAATAAAATATACATACACTGTATACCTACTGCACTTACTGTACCTCCCTCTACTGTAATGTAACCTGTAAAGTGCTGAGTACACCTGTTAGCGCTATATAAATAAAATATACATACACTGTATACCTACTGCACTTACTGTACCTCCCTCTACTGTAATGTAACCTGTAAAGTGCTGAGTACACCTGTTAGCGCTATATAAATAAAATATACATACACTGTATACCTACTGCACTTACTGTACCTCCCTCTACTGTAATGTAACCTGTAAAGTACTGAGTACACCTGTTAGTGCTATATAAATAAAATATACATACACTGTATACCTACTGCACTCACTGTACCTCCCTCTACTGTAATGTAACCTGTAAAGTACTGAGTACACCTGTTAGTGCTATATAAATAAAATATACATACAGTGTATACCTACTGCACTTACTGTACCTCCCTCTACTGTAATGTAACCTGTAAAGTGCTGAGTACACCTGTTAGCGCTATATAAATAAAATATACATACACTGTATACCTACTGCACTTACTGTACCTCCCTCTACTGTAATGTAACCTGTAAAGTGCTGAGTACACCTGTTAGTGCTATACAAATAAAATATACATACACTGTATACCTACTGCACTTACTGTACCTCCCTCTACTGTAATGCAACCTGTAAAGTGCTGAGTACACCTGTTAGCGCTATATAAATATAATATACATACACTGTATACCTACTGCACTTACTGTACCTCCCTCTACTGTAATGTAACCTGTAAAGTGCTGAGTACACCTGTTAGCGCTACATAAATAAAATATACATACACTGCATACCTACTGCACTTACTGTACCTCCCTCTACTGTAATGTAACCTGTAAAGTGATGTGTACACCTGTTAGCGCTATATAAATAAAATATACATACACTGTATACCTACTGCACTCACTGTACCTCCCTCTACTGTAATGTAACCTGTAAAGTACTGAGTACACCTGTTAGTGCTATATAAATAAAATATACATACAGTGTATACCTACTGCACTCACTGTACCTCCCTCTACTGTAATGTAACCTGTAAAGTACTGAGTACACCTGTTAGTGCTATATAAATAAAATATACATACAGTGTATACCTACTGCACTTACTGTACCTCCCTCAACTGTAATGTCACCTGTAAAGTGCTGAGTACACCTGTTAGCGCTATATAAATTAAACTTACATACACTGTATACCTACTGCACTTACTGTACCTCCCCTCTGTAATGTAACATGTAAAGTGCTGAGTACACCTGTTAGCGCTATATAAATAAAATAGACATACACTGTATACCTACTGCACTTACTGTACCTCCCTCTACTGTAATGTAACCTGTAAAGTGCTGAGTACACCTGTTAGCGCTATATAAATAAAATCTACATACACTGTATACCTGCTGCACTTACTGTACCTCCCTCTACTGTAATGTAACCTGTAAAGTGCTGAGTACACCTGTTAGCGCTATATAAATAAAATATACATACACTGTATACCTACTGCATTAACTGTACCTCCCTCTACTGTAATGTAACCTGTAAAGTGCTGAGTACACCTGTTAGCACTATATAAATAAAATATACATACACTGTATACCTACTGCACTCACTGTACCATTTGAAAGAGAGATCTCGCTGCTCTTGTCTGATTAAACCAGTAAAGGGGATTTAAACCCTTTACAGACCTGGGCAGAATTCTCAGAGATGAGACAGTTGTCTCCCGCAGTGGCTCTTAAAAAGACGCCTCCAATGTCTGTCCTACTAGTTGGGCCTAGAACTTTGATCGCTAAGTTTAATGGCTTGTTCGATAATAAACATGTAAATGATGTATAAATAAAATATACATACACTGTATACAGACTGCACTTACTGTGCCTCCCTCTACTGTATTTTATTTATATAGTGCTAACAGGTGTACTCAGTTAGCGCTATATAAATAAAATATACATACACTGTATACCTACTGCACTTACTGTACCTCCCTCTACTGTAATGTAACCTGTAAAGTGCTGAGTACACCTGTTAGCGCTATATCAATAAAATATTCATACACTGTATACCTACTGCACTTACTGTACCTCCCTCTACTGTAATGTAACCTGTATAATGCTGAGTACACCTGTTAGCGCTATATAAATAAAATATACATACACTGTATACCTACTGCACTTACTGTACCTCCCTCTACTGTAATGTAACCTGTAAAGTGCTGAGTACACCTGTTAGCGCTATATAAATAAAATATACATACACTGTATACCTACTGCACTCACTGTACCTCCCTCTACTGTAATGTAGCCTGTAAAGTGCTGAGTACACCTGTTAGCGCTATATAAATAAAATATACACACACTGTATACCTACTGCACTTACTGTACCTCCCTCTACTGTAATGTAACCTGTAAGGTGCTGAGTACACCTGTTAGCGCTATATAAATAAAATATACATACACTGTATACCTACTGCACTCACCGTACCTCCCTCTACTGTAATGTAACCTGTAAAGTGCTGAGTACACCTGTTAGCGCTATATAAATAAAATATACATACACTGTATACCTACTGCACTCACTGTACCTCCCTCTACTGTAATGTAACCTGTAAAGTGCTGAGTACACCTGTTAGCGCTATATAAATAAAATATACACACACTGTATACCTACTGCACTTACTGTACCTCCCTCTACTGTAATGTAACCTGTAAAGTGCTGAGTACACCTGTTAGCGCTATATAAATTAAACTTACATACAAACTCTGGCTGGCTAAAGGTGATAGGAGTGTTATAATCCCAACTAAGTGCGGTCTGATTGCCTTTAGTGGAGTAGTTTGTATATATATAGCCTGAGGAGGTTCGAGTGGCTCACATTTCTACAGATTGCCCAATGCAATCTTATTCCTCCTCCTATTTAATATATATATATATTTTATTAATAGCTGTAAACCTTCTCATCACATTCAGCCCCCCTCCAGACTATTATAGTCTAAGCTCTTCCCTTTCTCCGATCCTTTATTTATGGGTGCGGCGGACGCTTGGGGAAGGCTGAGCGCTGAACTTCAAACACTACCTTATCTTGCAAACTAGGCTTTTGATGTTAAGAGATCACAGGCTTGTTATGAAGTTCGTGCCAAATGAAGATGGGACTGTATTCAGATGCAACTGAATCTGATTTCAAAGCTGCTGTGAAACTATTACACTTTGGGTCAGGCTCTGAAAAGTATCTAATTGGCTCCCTTTCCCTGTTTTCAAGCCAGGGAGGCCAGCCCAATGTTGTGTTTGTCTCGTTACCCTGTCTGAGCCCAGCGACATGTTACCTATCGTTAAAAAACAACCACCCTTGTTATAATCTAGCAGTGTTCGCTCTCTAAATGGCGGTTTATCAGAGCAGGCAAATAGGCCAAAATTAACAAGGTAGGGTCCGTCTTCGATTGTTTTCTGGCAATTTGGACGTAAACTGTGGTTAATTCTATATTTATTCCCAGCGTACAGATTATTACTGTGCCTGAGTTAAATTCAAATTACTTTTAAAGTGTGTCTGCCCCTTTAAGAAAACCTATACATTATTTTAGCATAAGAACCATCTCTATATGTAAAGTTCTGTATTTTAGTATTTATAGTCCTTCCAGTAGGTTTTAAGATTTTTATCATTATTATATATTACCAAATAATTTTGTTAGGACCCATGTTTTAAGGCAACGCTTGCAAGACCCTCCCCCCGTACATGTTACCACCAAAGGTCATCCAATTCGATCAGCACAGCGATCCAATGCAATCTGATTACGCAGATACAATGTATCCCCTGTTGTTACCATTTTTGCTGTAAGATTCTAAAACATTAAATCTGTACATTTCATGGGTTATTTTATTACCCCTATGGATAGATCAAAATGCAATACCCCTGCCCCCAGCTGAACTTGTCACCTATGGCTTTTTTAGAACATCCCCTTTAGTTTCCATTGCTAGAAATCTTTTTTTTTTTGTAAAATACTTTGTATTTAAGTGTTTAAAATGCGTGTCCATCGTTGGGCCCCTCCCAGAGGTCTATGTCTTGCTGACTGGCCATTTTAAGATAATTTTGGACTAATACGTGCGTTACGTCTCTCTTTACAGAGATGGGATCCCTCCATACAGAATGAGCAGCAAAAAAAAGCTTCAACGTGAAATGCATCGGAGCGTCAAAGCCAACGGGCAGGTTTCTCTACCTCATTTTCCAGTAAGTATAACGATGGGCATCTTGCCCTGTACTGTGGGTCTGCTGCTTTCTGTGCTTGTTAAGAGGATTTTTCTTGTGTAAGCGTATCCCACACTTTAATGCCTGGCTTGCAGGTGGCCAACCAGTCTATACCTTTTGTTTGTATTTAAATCTCATTACTCGCAGCCAGCGTCCAACCGTAGCTGAGGCTCACGGTACTTGTTAGAATAACTGTTACACTGCACACTAGCCAGCCGATCTCTGGCGAGAGGCCCTATGTTGGCTCTTAGACCTGTTCTGCAAAGCATGTTTGTCTTTTAGAATCAAATTAATGAGGTGTTGGTTTTTTTTTTTCTCATGGCTGGGTCGCCGTGTCCTGCAGATGTTCTTCGATTAGAGCTGGATCATAGATTGGCAGCTTCTAACACCTCTGGCTGCCACAGCCTTAAACCGTCTGTCACTGGCTGCCTGACAGTGTTGGGAGATGGTATACAGCTGATGGAGGGAGCAGACTTCCCACAGAAGTGGATTTTACTGCCATCTTTTGATGTTCAATCAGGCAGGAAATTACAGTGTTTGACTGTTTTCTGGGCCCAGTTTGCACTTGTCAAGACATGGGTTGAGCCACCTGTATTTTTGCATGCGTACACTGCAGAATTGTGCCGAGGCTGGAAAACCTCTTAGTAGCCTTTTTAAGACCTGTCTGGACTCTCTGGATAACAAGGCGTTTTCTTAACCCTGGTCCTGAACGGTTTCTGTGTATAAGGCAGAATAGTGTGTTATATGAGCATCTTCTTAATTTAATGTGCTGTCCCCCCGCAATGTGGGAGCGAAGAGAAATGGCTTCCCCCTGGTGGTAGAATAAGTCTAGCCTTGTGCATAGTCTTGTGTTAGGGTTGATCGAGCTTAGCTCATCTGTTCTTGAATACATATCCCATGATTCTCAGCCAGCAATTTGGAATCAGTATTGTAAATGTGGAAGAGAGTTATCTAGAGAATAATGTACAATGAAATAATCGCACTCTTTCAGTTTGTGTAAAGAGCTTTCTGCTTAAAATGTGACATTTCACCCAGATGTTTGCTGCGGTTCTGTGCCCTATAAGTCATAACTTAGATTAGCTTGGTAGCAGTGTATTTAAAATACCCTCGATTTTTTTTTTCTTCTTTTCTGCCGTGTCTCCCCTATGTGCCTTTTTGCCCTTGTTCCTCAATGTGCCTTTCTGCCCTCCCTTCTCTATGTGTCTTTCTGCCCTCCCTTCTCTATGTGTCTTTCTGCCCCCTTCTCTATGTGTCTTTCTGCCCTTGTTCCTTGATGTGCCTTTCTGCCCTCCCTTCTTTCTTTATGTGCCTTTCTGCCCTCCCTTTTTTCTCTATGTGTCTTTCTACCCCCTTCTCTATGTGTCTTTCTACCCCCCTTCTCTATGTGTCTTTCTACCCCCCTTCTCTATGTGTCTTTCTGCCCCCTTCTCTATGTGCCTTTCTGTCCCCTTCTCTATGTGCCTTTCTGCCCCCTTCTCTATGTGCCTTTCTGCCCTTGTTCCTCGATATGCCTTTCTGCCCTCCCTTCTCTATGTGTCTTACTGTCCTCGTTCCTCTATATGTCTTTCTGCCCCCCTTCTCTATGTGCCTTTCTGCCCCCTTCTCTATGTGCCTTTCTGCCCTCGTTCCTTGATGTGACTAACTGCCCTCCCTCCTCGATTTGCCTTTCTGCTCTCGTTCCCCGATGTTCCTTTCTACCCTCGTTCCTCTAGTGCCTTTCTGCCTTCGTTCCTCTTGTGCCTTTCTGCCCTCCTTCCTCGAAGTTCCTTTCTGCCCTCCTTCCTCGAAGTTCCTTTCTGCCCTCCTTCCTCGATCTGCCTTTTTACCCATCTCTTGCTTATGCTCATTTTTTTCTGTCTGTTCCCTGTGTGTCTTCTCTTAGTCTCATTCACTCGCCCTCCCTCTTTCGCTCACCCTCCCTTCCTCTTTTTCTCCTTCGTTCCCTCCCAGATACATTTTTTTTGATGTCTGACAACCGTCTTTGAAGATTTCTAACTACAGAGCAGCTCCTGATAGGCTGGTTGTAGTACAGAGGGAACAAGCAGGGTTCCTCAGAGTGTAACCAACTGGTAGTGCCGTAGGCGAGGGCTGCCGGGCAGGATGCCTCTCCGTGAAGCCACCACTCTGGCTGATAAATATCCAGAGCAGCCACAGAGCTGCTGCGGTTTCTTCCCTAGCTCTCAGAGACGCATATTCGATCATCCATCCTCTGCTCCTGCTAAAGCATGGTTCTCCCTTCTTCTTCCCGGTCTCTGTAGAGGACACATCGGCTGCCCAGAGAGATGACCCCTGTGGAACCGGCAGTGTTTGCGGCTGAGCTTATTGTCCGGCTTGAAAAGGTCAAACAAGAGCAGGAGACTTTGTACAGCCTGGAGTCGAGACTGCAGCAAATCAAAGAGGTAATAGTTTATTGATCCCTGGTATCTGTTCCATCGCTGGTTCATGCCCTTCAGGCCCCTGTGATGCCCATCGTGTCTCCATTCTACCTGTGACCTTTTTTTTCCATTTCGTTCAATTAATCCGGGAACTCACGTAGATTAAACGCTCTCCCTTCTGACTGCACAATACTGCAGGACTCTCCCATCCTAGTGACCTCCAATTACAAAATGACTACAGCCGTGCTTGATAGAGCTTCCAGTTCTCCTTTGCAAACTAACAGCCCAGAATGACAAAATGTTGGGGGTCGGGGGGGAGGTTGTCTGTTTTTTTTTTTTTTTGCAGACAGCCGTAAAGATGTAATGTTTATGGGGGCTGTTCATGTTTGCCTAGATTTTTTTCTCATTCGAGATTTATTTTTCCATAAATACAATATTTATGTGAATGTGTAATAGAATGTTTATTTGAGCCACAACAGAATTGAGATATTTATTTATGTGATTTAAATATACAAGAACCACCTATCTTTTTTGTGTGCACAATACACAGCATGTGTATATGTATATATAATATACATTCCCCATAAGGATTATATAGAAGATTAGCTTGGGAAGGGTCCTGCCCCTAAAAATATATTCTCTATATCCTTTGGCAGCGAATGGTTTACATTGACTGGGGTCCAAGGAGGGATTTTGAAGCTTTCATTTCGGTCTCCCCATAGGAGGAAGAAAAGGAGGAATCTGAGACCTCTGTCGGCTCTCAATCCACCCGTGAGTCTGTGATCCCACAACATCAACCAGTAGCTGCATTGCCTTCCAGCTCGTGTGAAGATGATCCACAGGCCATCCTTGATGACCACTTGTCTAGGGTCCTGAAGACCCCTGGATGCCAGTCTCCGGGTGTGGTCAGACACAGCCCCCATACTCGATCTCCAGACCTTCCTCGACCGCTAAGGCCTACTGTACCAGTTGCTCCTATCATCCCTTGCACCATGCTTGCCAAGGGCTTTGTCACAAAGCAGACCACCAAGCACATCCACCACCACTACATCCACCACCACACTGTGCCAAAGTCCAAGGAGGAGATTGAGGAAGAAGCTGCCCGGAGGGTTCAGTGCTTTTGCAGTGGATCTGTTGACTATTGCAATTACCTGAAATCCAGGTCACATTTCAAGGGTGGAGACCATTCTATCTCGCAGTTTGAAAACACGGGGTAAGCACACGTAATTCCGCCTATTGCTGAGGCCTCTGCGTAGCTGATATATCTAGCCATATCCATTTATTGTATGTGTACTGAGACTCTAAAAGTGTCCGGCTGCATGGGGAGTGATTATTGTCTAGTGACATGCATGACCATAAAAGAGCTTTAAAAAATGTCAGCTTATGGGATTACAGCTAACATGCTGTCAGTTACTCAGTCTTTGAAATGTGTGTATACATTGGCAGATAGGAATTTTGTATTCACTATCTCCTTACATGTTTTCCTGCAGCAGCAAGACTGGGACCTTCTCGAGGAGGAACTTCTCTGGGGAGCTTGAGGGCACGTCTGTAATGTACCAAATACCAGCGGAGGAGCATTCACATACCACTTGGCAGAGGATAGTTGAGTGTGAGAACGAACGACAGGGCCGGCACAGATTACACAGGTATAGCTGCAGGGTGATAAGTCATTTATCATATTTATTTCTTACTGTGTATGCTTTGCAGGTCCACTAATGACCATTATAACATGTGCCCTAGCTTAACCAAGGCCTAAAAGCCTGCAATACCGATCACAGTGCAGAAACTGGGTTTGGCACCGTGTCTCATTAACCCCATTATCCGTGATAATTTTTTTATTTTATATTTCATGTACACTTTTTTTATAATATTCGTTTTGTAGTTCACGTAAATGTTTTAAATGAATATTTAGCGGGGGGGTTTTTTTGTTTTTTTTCTCTTAGCGTGCAATGTAGCAAGAAAAGTACGGCTTGTGAACGGATTCGAGCGTCATCCGCAGAGCGCCCTACCCGACATCACGTGTGGGGGGCAGCAAGCTGTCACCCCCGGAACCTGCAGTCCTCGCACCTGGCAGTACAAGACTTAGCTATTCCACCGTTCGCCAACCATAATACCCTCGCACAGCTGGAGGAGGCCTGCAGGCGGCTGGCAGAAGTATCCAGACCAGCAAAGCAAAGGTAGGCAGACAGATTGACCTGGAGGTTAATGGGTTAAGAGTGCATTTAAAGAATTGTGTTTTAATGCTCCCTCTATGTAGCATATTAATACTTTGTAAGTCAGGGTTAAGCTATTCTAGAGCTACATTCTCAAGGTGCCTTTCTAGCCAAAGGCAGTGAGGAATCTACCCTTCTATCTCCCTAGTGTAGGTTTGTAGTCTGAGAGCAAGTTGGTTAGCTTAGACAGTATGTTTATATGATCTCATCCAGCTGCTTAGAGAATGTGTGCATCGTTCCTGCAAATATGTGCTCTCTCTCTCGTTAATGGACAAGACATTTTTAAAGGTTTCCATATTTTTAACACTGGGTACATTTATAATATATGGGAAACAGCTGGGGGAAGCAATTTAAGGTTGCACAGAATGTTTGAACTGCAGATCATAGACGTGCAAAAGGAAACTCTTTCCCCCAACACTTTGAAAATCCACTTGCATTAATCAGATAAGTTTTTAGTTCCACAAAGGCGGTGGTCCTATGATTTAGGGGGCCTATGTACGCAGGCCAATGATTCGTTTTATTCACATCAAAACGAAGGCAGAGGTGTTTACTCACTAAACACCAAATTGTAGGGAATTGAAATACAAATTGCTAAATTAAGACTAGTATAGAGAAGATTTTCAGTCACTTATTTTTGCCTACATTTTGAAATCTGTATTCAGTGTGTGATTTGAATAAAACTGGAATACATGCATTCACATATTGTATGTAGAAACATTTAAATACATAAAGGGAATCAACACAGTAAAGGAGGAGACTATATTTAAAAGAAGAAAAACTACCACAACAAGAGGACATAGTCTTAAATTAGAGGGAAAAAGGTTTAAAAATAATATCAGGAAGTATTACTTTACTGAGAGGGTAGTGGATGCATGGAATAGCCTTCCAGCTGAAGTGGTAGACGTTAACACAGTAAAGGAGTTTAAGCATGCGTGGGATAGGCATAAGGCTACCCTAACTATAAGATAAGGCCAGGGACTAATGAAAAGTATTTGGAACATTGGGCAGACTAGATGGGCCGAATGGTATCCTGTATCTGTCTTTTATAAATTGCTGTTTTGAACATATTGCAAAGGTCAATGGATTGATGTAAAATCACCTGATTATACAGTTCTCGAGTATCTCAGCTAATGTCTATAAGCTTTAAGTATGTTTAGACGTAAGTCTCTCCTGCAGATGCAGTGTGTGTTTTAGTCATTTTCCCTTTGTAAACATACAAACCCCTCCATCATTTTGTAGCAGCGAATTTTAACGCTCACTTCAAAGCTCACTCTATCTTCCCCTCGCCCTCCGCCTCCTTCTCTTCCATCGCCCTCATCAGCAGTTCGCCCAGCGCAGCATCCAGCTGACTCCGGTACCTGCTGATACAAAACTTTCAAGATCTGAAACACACAGCTTGAGATTTATATTTTTTCATTGTTGTGGGTTTTTTTCCCCATCTGCTGAACAAATTTTATATATATATATTTTTTTAATTTGTTTTGTTTTAATTTGCATTTTTCATACTCGGAGGAGATGAAAGGGATACATTGTTTAAAACTTAAAGTGCACAGCAGATCTGAGGTCCTGTCTTGATTAGCACCTCTTAACATTTATTTAGGCTCCTTATCATTGATGGAATTTTCGTTTAACCCACTATTAACAGGACGCCAGTGAATACATTATATGACCGTGAAGAAATCATTTATTATCTACTGATGCTTATAAACAGTTTCTAGTCAAAGTAATGATAAATTGTTAGAATTGGCAGAATGATTCTTTATATTCTATGTCAGAGGTTTTTAACCCCTGATTAAGCGACTGCCCTCAATTAAAGTATTATCACTACGTCCCCAGTAAATTGGAGACCTCCTCTGTCACTGGGAAGAGTCTAATGAAGGCGAGATGCATTATTTTATTTTGTTTTATATTTTAATAACATTGAAGAATGGGTCAATAATCTAATTTTACAATCTGGAATTTCCTTGTCAAATCTCTTTAATTCTTGTTTTAGCGAATAATCTCAATTTTTTCCCACATAGATCTCTGTTCAACCTAAATTCTCGCCACCATCACAGTATTAACACTTTCTTAGTGTAGAATTTTGTTGGGCCTTCTCCGTTGCCAATTATGGCCTTATATAATATGTGTGTATATATATATATATATATATTAGATTTGTTGATTGCAATTCCATAGTACATCGCCGATGCACCCTAAATGCAATAATAATCGTTAATCAATTTGACACATGGATTTATTGTTCTGTTTGTGTTTCAGATGTCCAACACAGAGCCAACAGAGGAGTCACTTGGTGCCAAGTCCTTCAGCGTCTGGTCTTCATACCCCAACAACCCCTGTGTCTGAAGAGTAAGTCCCTACCATTTAAGTAGAGTTTTAAAGTGAATATTCAGTTTATATACAGTCTAATAGATTTGGGTCACAGTGTGCAGACCATAGGATGCTTATTCATTCCACCTCCCTGTATCATTCTTTTTATAATTGCACTGCCCTCCTCTAAGCAGTGCATGTCAAGCTGCTGTCAGTGTTCTGTACAGTTAGACCGACTGACTGCTGTCTGCAGAACATTCGGAAAACACAGCAGCATCACTGGGCAATTAGCAGGACTGAAACAGCAATATATTTTACACTAAAGGCTATCACAGCTCTGCATCATATCATATGTGTTTGTAGCTCTGTGTGTGTTTTGTATATATATTAATTTATTTCTATATATTGATGATAGTTAATTGGCAATTGATCATCTAGTTTGGGGGTGCAGCAAGTCCTTCAGATCCGTTAGGATAGATTTCTATGTTAGGAATTTATTGATAACATTGAAATAATGTACAATTCACATTTCTGTGGACATTCCATGTATGTTACTTGGAGAGAGACGTTGTGTTTTTTGTGTTTTTTAGTTTGTGGTTTTGAGGGGGTTAATCAGGCGCTCCTGGATTAGTCTAATTACAGGGCCAGTTCTTTTTAACAAGGATTCCAGCTAAAGAGGCCTAAAAGTGACCTAAATAATTAAAACCGCTCTCTTTGCCCTCTTCATCTTAAGAAAGCTGTTGGCTTTGAAGTCCAGCCATTAGGCACCTGTCTCCAGCCTTTCATTTTTAATTGGCTGACCCTGAGACCCCCAGCCGTCTGAGCAAAGCAGAGGGGCTTTTTCAATCTTGAGCAGCCTGTGTAAAGTCAGGATGGGCACAGATCATCGCCTCTTATTTATTAGCAATATTACACTGAAGGAATTTTTAAAACATGTCTTACAGCTTCTGTGCAGTTATAGCCTCAGTGTGAAATTTGAATGAAGGGATTTGGGTTTAAATATTAATAGGAATGTGTGGAAGGACTGGATTTCTGCCAGGTAGGTAAAATGCTTTCAAATTAGACATTTCCTGTCCAGCACTGCATTATACTGCAACTCCCATTAGGCTTGCCCACCTGATTGTCATTGTATTGAACTCCTAGATAGGTGTAGAACTCTGTGGAACAATTGTGTATATGACACCAACAATAGCACTGTGTAATCACAATGTAAATTGATATATTTTTTAAAATTCCTTTCTCCTTAAAGTTCGAAAGAACCAAAGAAATCACAAAACGCTTCCCTTCCGGCCTCCAGCGAACTCATGGTGACGTATTTTTTCTGTGGAGAGGAAATACCTTACCGGCGAATGCTGAAATCGCACAGCCTGACACTGGGACACTTCAAAGAACAGCTTAGCAAGAAGGGAAACTATAGGTACGAAGCAAGAACTGTACCAGTTTAAGGATTGCTCGCTTCCCGTGTGAGTCTAACATCTGCAAACCTTTCTGCTTTGGGCTGAGGGCGGTCTTCTAACCATGAATTTCTATATTGTTTTTCTTTTGTTTAGAAAAATGCTTATTGTTCCTCCTGGCACTCCAACGGTTAACAGCACTCTCTCCGTGCTCACTCCAATTTACCCAACGCTTTAACGCTTTAAGATTTTAATTCTTTTCCTAGAGGGGCAGCAAATGCATGGCAATGGTAAAGAGGTTGATTTACTAACCTGCCTGCCACAGGGGGCGTTTTTAATGTCTTTGCTTGAGTGCACGCTTTAGCGGGTTTGTTTTATGAAAACAACGGCACAATAACCAACGCGGCATGAAAATACATGAAGGGCTAAACTTGGCACTGCAGATGTTTGACTGCATTTCCAGTGATTAGGCTGGCTGTGAATCATAAGAAGTGTAGTCCATGAACATCAGCAGTCCTTAGCTGAGCCAACACAGATTATTTTGGTTTACATTACAAATACGGTGATTCAGTAACATTTAGCACCTGCATTTTCTATGTCCTATGCTTAGAGAGTTTGTCCCAGCATGCACCTGTCCTCTTTGCCAATTGGTCATTCTCCGGCTTCTAAGATTTGTGCAATGTGTTGTCAAACTGGTGCAGGACTCAGGGAAGTAGCACACTCTCTAAGAGCATGGCAGCACAAAATAATTTAACATCTCTAAACCAAATTCATGGATTTAATGTTATGTTTGCTGTAAGTGATAAAACTACTTTAGCCGTAATCTTACCCCTCTCTAAAAATATAAGATTTATGCTCTGAATGCATAGAGGCCTATTAAACGAAGAATTGTCAGAGCTTGACCAGTGGATTGCAAATTTTAGGCCAAACAGATGATTTGGAAAAGTAGCCGAGCTGTAGCCTAAAATGTCAGATTATTTTGTCAGTTTTCTCACTATACCCAGATTTCCATGATTCCAGAGGTCCAAGAAATTTTGGAATCTTTGAATGATGCAACTCAGAGAACTGGGCACATCTGTCAATGATTTAATATTGCAGTTAAAAAGCTCATTTAAAAGGAATGTCTTTGTAGCTTTTTTTTTTTTCCTCCCTTTTTCTTTAAACACGAAGCCAGTGCAAATATTTTGATCTTTGATGTACGAGCTGAATGGAGATTTTTTTTTTTATTTAAAGTGACTCTTATGAATTCAAGTATCTCTCAAAAGTTTAGAGCTTTGTCAAATGTATGCTTTAAAACTGTACAATTCAGAACAGATTTTATTTTAAAAAAAAAAGGTGTGTATTCATTTACAGCAAACTGGGGGGAAGACAATTTATTGTGCACTTTCTGTTTCCTGTTACTTCTGTAACAATTTACTGTTCAGAAATTACTCAAGGATTAGGGTGTGCAACAAATAAATGCTTCCCTTGTCTGATGACAAACACTAGCGGCGAAACATTTTTTTTCCCAATCTATATGGAAGCTTTCTTACTCAAAGGGCCATGACTATATTGCAAAGGTAAATGTGTACAGTACTGAGGTTATGCTCTGCCGCACTCTAATCTTTACAAACAGCGTTTTATATATAATTATCCAATATCATGATTACTTTTGCCCTCCCTATTATGTATCAATGCCAAAAAAAGCAAGTTTTGGCTTGGTTATTGTATGCGGTTAGAATATTCCCCTAGATCAGAGCATCATGTAAGTTACTGTATTAAGACTTAATACTGCACAGTACTCAGGTTAAAATATTTTAAAAACATTTAGAATATTCTAAGGGCACTATAATCACCACTGCGGCTTATTGTAGTGGTTATGGTGCAAAGAGTCTGAGGATGAAGTCCCCTTCAGATTGTGTCAAATTAGGGATTTCACAGCTCTTATAGCTTAGCTAATGCAAAACATTGGTGGATTAGCCCACTGAGACCGTCCAATCTGTTGTTCAAGGCATTGGATTACTCTGCTGAATCTACATTATTAAAAGTATCTTCCAACATATTTTCTACCTCTTTTCTATGGATCTGAGCCCTGGCATTACAGGTTAGCTGCTATTGAATGGTTTCATAGATCAGCAGGCCATAGAATGCCACCGAATCCATTTAGCCTACACTTTATTAGCACTCTCCCTTGACGTTCAGTGGGTAAAGCGAGAGATCTGTGCCTGTGCCGATAAAGATCTCAGTATGCCCATGTGACACTTGTACAGACAGAGGGTATCAGTATATGACATCACATCCTGAAATCTTCTCTGTAACATAGCAAGTGGTCAAAGAGCAGCGATAAAAATCAGCGATGTGATCGCCCTTATCTTCTCCTAAACTCGCTGAGTCAGCAGGGCACAGGAGAAATGTCGGGGAGCATACAATGCGCATGTATCGCATTCCCACAATTACTCAGATTCACCTAAAAATTTCTGAACCAGATGTGCTACCAAATAAATCTAAATCTTGTCATTCTAAATCATAAATCAACAAACATATCATCTTTACTTGGTTTTCTCGTAATATAAGCATATCATGCAAAATATATTATCGCAATGTTCTCTGGCTCGGAAAGGGCATTTTTCTGCTGGGGTCAGAGTTTTGTATTCTCAGAGTTTTGCGTTTTTACAGCTTACAAACCGTTTTTACTTGTGATCTAATGATCTTTTTGTATCACCATAAAATGACTACAAATTAATTTGCCTGTAAATTATAATATGAGTTCTTTACCGTCTTTATTTTTTTTTATTTCTTGCAGATACTACTTTAAAAAAGCTAGCCACGAGTTTGACTGTGGCGCGGTTTTCGAAGAGATTCAGGAAGATGACGCAATCCTGCCCACGTATGAAGGGAGAGTACTCGGAAAAGTGGAACGCATTGACTGAACAATGAATGTTCCCATGCGTGACCTGTACATTCCTTTTTGGGACACAGTGTTACTCCGGGAGTATGTTGCCTGGAGCCAGCCCCGCGTTTCTTCACCCTCTGTGAACCCATTAAAGAAAAACCATTGGCCTGAACAACCAGCTGATGTCGTATCTGGAACAAGCTGCCATTCCACCTGAAAAACACCTGCTACAGAGACAAACTCCACCATCTCGATACATTAGGACAGGATGGACAATGTGGGATGGCAAAATGGGCCCCAATTGATCGAATTCTGATATTCGAGTAATGTATCTGTGAGCAGTAGTGGTTTGTAAACAGCTTCACATCGCTGCTGCAAGTCCAGGACTGAAGAAAGGTGGAAACACCAAAAATGAGAAGATATTTAAGATGTCCAAAAATGAGAAGATAGGGCAAGAATTTAAGAAATTAAAGTGAGCAGATGACTCACAGTTCTCACCAACTCCCAAGATGGTAACTTTTTGGTCTATTTATTATAAAATAAATAAAATGAGCACCACTACAGATTGTATCAGACTCCTGTACATATTTAATGACCTCATGGAGACCTGACCGCTAAGGACTTGAGGGGTTGGCGTAACTTTTTTTTTTTTTTTTTTAAAGCATACTGTGTTTTGATATTTATTGAACTGTCTGATCCAAGTCATGGATCATGCTGCTTTATTGATTTTTGGAAGAGAAAGGCTCTCATCACATTATATGTTAACACATTGAAGAATTAAGCTAGCCAGTTGTATGCAGTCACTTTCAATTGGTCAGTGAGTAGATCTCCCTGGTAATAAGCCTTCGAAGTTGATGGTGTTTCAGAGAGTCCGTTCATTGAATTTATGCTGCTTTTTAAAACATTGGCAAATTTATTTCTGAGGAACTTAATATCCTGGTGCCTTTGGTCCTACTTTTTTGTTTTTGTCTTGTGGGTTTTTAATTTTATTATTATTATTTTTTATTGTTACTCTCCTCGACGTGGTATATCCCATTTTAGGTATTTTTTTTTTTTTTAATGATTCATTGTTTAGAACCATCAAGAGTTACATTACATACCTTTATTAATCTATAGGGGTATTCATATAAGGCAAGATTTCTGTCATTTATAAGACGGGGAAAGGAGCCTTTGCTGCCAGAAAATGTAAAAATCAATTAAATACGGACGCAAAATTACAGGTTCATTCTACAAGCAGCCTTCATTTTGCAGTTTAAATTAAGGTCTAATTGTGACTAGTGAGCAAAAAAAATTTTTTTTTCATTAAAGTTTTTGGTATTTTTTAATTGCCTGGAAGCAACGTGTCAACTTAGAGAAAAGCCGTTCTTTGCACCAGCTCTCTGGGAAAAAAACAGATGCTCAAGAGTGGTCGACTATTCTTCTAAAAATGGGAGTCAAGCTGTACCTAGGCTATTACAAAGCCTTATGGGAGTTGTAGTGCAGTTTTTAGAACCTCATTATAATGAGCAAAAACTGTTCACAGAAATCATTTCAGCCTCAAATAATCTGTTTCTTAATCTTGTTGGTAAACTGCCATAACAATGAAAGGATCCCATATTACACATTAGATGTGGCACTCTATATTAGGGTGCTAGAATCTTATGCCGTCATTTTCGCATACTTGTTATTGTTATTATTTTGTTTATACTTTTTTTTTTTGAGGTGGGCTTTATATGGATACATCGTTCCTGCTAGAATTCTGTTCTAATGTATTGTACAATAATTCTGTATATATTGTAACAAATTGTATAATTACACAATGTATAGCGTTTAAATATAAAGTACTGTACCTGTGCCTCGTGGTGAAAAGTCACCGTATGTCACCCTATTCTCTAGGGTCCAATCCTTCCCTTGTATTTAAGGGGTTAATGTATAGATGATGCCTTTTTTATTACGTCTCGTACTTTTTGGCATTTTTGTTCAACTTGTACTGTAAATTATGCATTATAAAGAGTTTCATTTAAAGAAAAGCTAACATGGTACAATAATTATTGTAATTAAGAGATGTAGCATTTATTAAAATTTTTTATATTTTTAAAATTAATTTTGCCTTTTTTAACTCTTTATGTTGGTGGTTGCTGTGCAAAATGAGGTAATAAAATGGTATTTCTAAAACCAGAATAACGAGGGGGGTTAGTCATGTGGGTTATTTTTTATGTCACGGGTTACTATATAATCTATCTTGATAGGTATATTAGAAACATCTCCCCTAGTGAGTACACTGTGACGTGCAGTGGTGAGTAACTTTTATGGCCTGGGTAGTAGCAGAGGGATTGATTCATTTTAAGCCCTAATTTTTAAAATACAGGAATATATTTTTAAAGGTCGATGACGGATACCATAACAACGTTTGGGAAAAAAGTTGTTATGGTGCCAGGAGGTCCCTGGTGCTGGCTTACCTTGCTGGGGTTAAACTGTTCATGAATGGTTAAATCCCAAAGTCCAGTATCCAGACCAAATCACTGTGCCCCCTGTCCTTAGTCTGCTCAGAATCATGAAAAAGACAGTCTGCCAATTAGTAGCTCCCCATTCACAGAATGACTTGAATTTTGTGCATGTATTTTTGTCAAACCACTTTGTAAATGGGGAGTCACTGATTGGGTTAGAGTGTCAGCTGACACTCTATCCGAGGCTTAATCTTTCAAGATTCTGAGAGGTGCAAGGACAGGGGGCACAGTGATCGGGCGCTGGATACTGGACTTTGGAATTAAACCGTTTGTGAATCGTTTAACCTCTGAAGGTATTCTGGCGCAATGTACCTCCTGGCACCAAACAAATCTCATTCCAATAAAGTTGTTATGGTCTTAATGGAAAACATGAATAAATAAACCCAGAACTAATTAGTACTTGAAAATTTGTCTCCACGCTTTAGAAAGTGAAACAATCTCCATGGAAACCAAGTTACCTTTCCTGCTGATTGTTCCATGTCTATAAATGTAGAATCCCACATGGTTCACATCTTCTTACAACACACCAACCGGTACCCCAGAATGCAGGACGGTATAGAAGTGGTGTTAAATATTGGGGAGAGGCTTACCGTCTCAAACTGCATGCAAAACGTTAACTCATTGGTTCCCAAGCTATCGACCCAACACGGGTCCCGGTGTGATTTTCAGGGAGTCCCCAATGGTTGGAACAGACAGAGCCTCTCATTAGGACCCCAGATAGATGCTCAGAGTAAAAGGTTTGCTGTAATGGCCATACTTTAACAATGTGTTGGAGAACCGGTGGACACTGGGAAGAGTCTAATAGAGATTTAATGCAGAATGTATGCACTATATATATAAATTATAAGAGGGTCAAAGAGCTACGTTTAACATTTAAACATATCATTTATGTGCCTGTTAAAGAAAAACAAATGTTTAATCTATATACATTAAAGTCCCCTGGAAAAACTCTGGCTCTCACCTGACAGAGCAATCACAGAGCACAGTAGCAGGATTATGTAATGACATCATGTACTGACATCATAATTCAAACACAAAGGCCAGTAGCAGGATTATGTAATGACATCATGTACTGACATCATAATGCAAACACAAAGGCCAGTAGCAGGATTATGTAATGACATCATGTACTGACATCATAATGCAAACACAAAGGCCAGTAGCAGGATTATGTAATGACATCATGTACTGACATCATAATTCAAACACAAAGGCCAGTAGCAGGATTATGCAATGACATCATGTGCTGACATCACAATGCAATCGCAGAGGCCAGTGGTTACAGTGCAGACTAGTGACACTGATCAGGCCGGACTGACAGCAAGGAGGTAGGAAGAGGGATGCTTTAAAAAGGAGGCACATTTAATCGGAATGGGTTGTCTGATAGGAATTAGGTATTTCTGATGGTGTTTCTCTGAGTAAATACGTTCAGCTGTCATTTTAACCCAGAGAAATCATCCTGTTTGTATCTACTGTTCTACTTTAACCTAAGCCCAATGAGGCTGGACTTGGTTTCATAAAAATGTATCATGAATACTGGCAGCCTATTAAAGTACACCTAACATGAAAAAACAACGACGTGGAATCTACAGTAGAATCAAATAAAATTCCGTTTGTACGTCGTATTAGTCAGATTGCCATCCTACATATTGATTGAATTTACACTGACATAGAGGCAGCCTTGTACAACAGGGCTTTGGAAATGGATTTAGAATGTCAGGTAACAGGAGTGAAATCGGGGGTTCTGGTTCAGCCAAATTCAGCTCTACCTTAGATCACAACATACTTGTTGGCATAACTGACTTGTTAATTGAGAAGGCCGTCACGTTGCTGCCCTTAAATCCTGGCACATCACTGTCTGCGTGGATCTATTGGTTAAGGGTTCTTCCGCCTTATCCCTAATCGCAGCCAGCAAGAAACTAATTTGAAGAAAAAAGTAAAATTAATCAAACTCAGACATGACATTGCCCCTTTAAGAGCGTGCTGTTTTTTTTTTAACTCGTTCACTGCCATGGTAATGATAATTGCTGCTCTCTCCTAAGCCGTCTAGGTTTTGGTAAGTGGTTATGGTACCGATCATTGCATATTCTTTCGATATAGTCAGGGGTTTTCACTGAATTAAAATCCAAATGGTGAAATAGCTCTGGCTATTGCTGAGAATTTCTCCAAATTAGCTATTTCCACCTTTTATCATTTTGATTTTTGTTCCCTATAAACTGAAGTTTTGTTAATAATCACAGACTGTCTCCTGCTTTTAAATTAGAATGTTATATCTCTGTCATAAGATACTTTTAATTGTACTATTTAGTTTTGTTTTCACATTGTAAGCCACTAATTTTAAATATAACCTGTGTTTACTAGGAAAACAGTCTGATAACCCCTCTCCAGAACGGAGTAGAACAGCTTTCTTTTCATATAAAATAGCAATAATACATTATTGTACAGAGCCTTTGTTGTAATCTTGACCACCTGGTGGAACATAGTTATCAAGATAATGGCCGTACTAGTCTGATTTAGTGTTGCTGCCTGCCTCCTTCTACCCTAGTGTAATGCGGTTCTTAACACTTCACAATTAGACACATGTTCTAGAGCAGGGGTGGGCAACATTCATCTACCATAATCATATCACAGCCATAATGCTGGCAAAGCATCAGGGGAGATGTAGTTCACAACATCTGGAGTGCCACGGGTTGTCTACCCCTGTTCTACAGCAATGGCTCTGGGACTTACCCTCAAGGACAAGCAAATATCCAGAACTCCAGCTCTCTTACAACAGGAATGTCACTAAAATGGCTTATTTGAGGATTGTTATTCTAGATCGTAAATGTTACTTAACAAGGGTATGTTTACACGATAGTGAATTCACAGCTTTTGGGATGGTTTAGCGTATCCTCTCTCTTAGGTCATCAATGTCTTGTGCCATTAAGCAACATTGTGCTCTGTGATAACTGCTCCGGTTCCCGCATCAATATATGGTTTGGCTGTGAACTGTTTCAATCCACGATCATTAGCGCAAAGTCTTAAATTGGTAGCTGGTTTTATGGAGTGAGATAGTTTAGTCTTGAGTCCCCATTATGACAACAGACCATTCCCCTACAATCTGAGTGTGAAAAGTTATCCAGCTGGTGGTCCTTTCAAAGTAATGTCAATCAAAGACGGGACTTCCATGTCGCGTTTTGAGAAAAATGGGTTTATCTATCGTAACTAGAGATTAATCGGCAGTTCTGTGTATATATCAATTCAGGGGCAAAGTTCCCAACGTATTGCAATTACCATGGGAACCAATAGAATCTTTGAGTTGATTGCTCCACTTTTACATATTTGTCATAGTAAACGATGCCTCCATTATATTGAGAACCACTGCGTGACGCCTGGCTACATTAATGCCATGTGTGCCAAAGGGAATGCGATGGAAACACTGTGACTGAAAGGATTCTAGAGTTGGGTATCCACCCCAGCAGTGTTTTTTTACTCTGAAGTTTAATTGCGAAGCCGCCATGTAGGGGGAAAAAAAAAAGTTATGCTCAGCCTTCAAATTCTCAAAACAAGCGCCACGTCAGGAGTGGATTCTTCAATCTTTCCCATCTTTTCTTCTCTTTTGCTTCATGTCCATTGATTTCGAGTAAAGTAGATACTTTCTGTGCCGATTTTCTAAGTAGATCAGTAAAACTTTCAGTTTCCGCCAAAGGGAGCCAACGTCACGCAGAGTTCACAAAACTGAGCGCTGAATTTTTGAGTCAAGGAAGCTGCAGGCGGCATGGCTCTCAAAAGGAGTTTTAAAATCGATAAATTCATTTAAGTTTTTTTTTTTTCTTATTTTTTTTTTCTGCATAAATTGGCTTCATCTGACGCCACTGGTTTTATTTTATTTTTTTATTATTTTTTTAATTGAGTTTGATTAAGTCCGATTATAATAGGTCAGTAAATGGACTTCAACCGTTCTAGAGAAGAAAGGAAGGTTTTGAAGTCTGCCCTTCAAAGGCTTGAAATCTAACGTGATATTGCATATTATTTTCCAGCTATTAAAATGAATCACACTGTGCTTAGCACTCGTCCTGGGAAGATAAATGTTTTAGATACAGCTTGAGTCTATTCCCTGTTCTACAATTCACGGCATCGTTATCAGTCTAGCTATACCCACCTACCTGTGTCTATCCGTCTGTTCCAAACAAGAAAGTAGATTCAAGTATATGACAGCCTGTTGTTTAACTTCAGATGAAAGAGTGTTTGAATCTTCTGTTAAGAATGAACGAGAAGCAAATATTTGCCACTTCATTTATAACAAGCTTGACAGTGTGATCATTAACTGAACGCCCGAAAAGTGCTAGTTTTAAATGGATTAAATATGAGGATTTAGGAGTGGTTTAGGGGGATTACAGGTTTATAATCTGGGTGTACCTGTAGATTACAGATTAAAGGGTCAATAGTTTAGGAAACATTACTGTTATTGACGTATACACTGTGTTTTTACATTCGTGGTATATCCCGCATGATTTGCGCGATGATGGGCAGAAGCTAAAGTGTATTTAAAGAATATGCATAAGTGATGTTTTAATCTTTTCCAGAATAATCTGTGGTAGTTACAGCGACCTCTGATGTAAGAGAATACCTAGTTAAATAATTAGCACTTTGTATTTGCGATTGAGAATCTGTGTGCATAGAATGGCCTGATTAAGTTACATCTGCCACCTCTTTATAGGGACCTGCCCATTCTTTGTGATGAAGGCTCCGTCACTTGTCCCAGCCCCCCAATGCATCACCAGTGGCATGAAGGTCTCCTAATAGTCCTGATTTCATGTCAACCTGATCTTGTTCTCCGGTGTCCTGGATGCATCATTGGATGTGCTTGCTCTGTGCTTAGGACACTAGGACTATGCAGGGAGTGTTGCAGCAGTGGTCAGCCCTGTATGGGGCCTGCCGGGAGGCTGACAGTAACCTGGTGGGCCTGAGACAGTGACACATGTTGCATCAATGCCACACCCCTCCTTGTCCCAAATGCCACCTTATTTGCAGCACTGTCTCCTGAAATTTCTCATAATAAATCAGGGTGATCGGACTATGTTAAAGGGACACACTACTGCCTAAATACAAAATAGATATACCCCATATGAACACTTGCATGCATTTAATTATCCATTTGTTTCACTGGAGAAATATCTAAAAACCTACAGATCTCTTGTCTGCTTCCTTTTCATGTCCTATCCTAACCCCGCCCAGACTTTCTGTGGCTGTCCAATCACAGACTTCCCAATGCAGCTCAATGAGAAGTCTTTGCAAGGCAGGTGATCTGGGCTGCTGTTGCCTCTTGAGTTTAGCTCCACTGAGCTAACCAAACCAGGAAGTAACAGGATCTGTTGTCTGATTGACAGCCAGGGGGTGTAACCAGGTGCATTTATAAATGTTCCAATTTCTATTGAAATTTGCACTTTTTGTAAAATTAAAAAAAGAGGACACGCTCTTCACACACAGAGCTTTTCAGCAAACTAGAGTGCTTTAGGGGTCTGGAGTGTCCCTGGAGTGCTGGAAGATGCAGCTTTGATGCAGTGAAGGTCACATCTGTTAATGCCTGTATATACCATCTGTGCGACCCGGGGGTGAAGGCACTTACAGATTTGTAAGTGGTTGTGGTGGCAGTCCTGGCACAGGGAGCCCTGTAGATGTGTAAGTGGTTGTTGTGGCAATCATGGCACTGGGAGGCAGGAGCCCTATAGATGTGTAAGTGGTTGTGGTTACTCTAATGGGCAGGGAGCTCCCAGTGCCAGGACTGCCACCACAACCACTTACACATCTGTAGGGCTCCCAGTGCCAGGATTGCCACCACAACCACTTACACATCTATAAGGCTCCCAGTGCCAGGAATTAGCTTATTGGTCAAGATTCTTGTCATCATTCACGTAATTTTCCCTCTCTCTCTCTCTCTCTTGTTTTGCCACTTTTCAGAAATCCGAAGCACTTTGGAACTTTGTCAATTTGGTTTGGTTCGCCACTTCCGAACTACCAAACTTCGGCACTTCGGACATTCGTAAGCATCCGAATTTCACAAAATTCGGCCAAATGTACATTAGGAACGAAACAAATTATGTTTCAGAACATGTGATCAGAATCCTTCAATAAAAGAAATTTTTT